CCGGGAGAATGTGTTTTTGGTGGCTCACCTGGGCATGGGCGCAACACGTGGGGAAGATGTGCTAGCCGGAGCAGCATGATGTGCCGCGGCGATCTGTGGCAATGGACGACCCCTCCGCAGAGGCAGGGGAGGCAAGCCGGCGTGCCCCTGCGGCAGCGCCTGGACACCATGGCCAGAACGGAGCCCTGCGGGAGGGAGGGAGCGGGTGCCGTGGCTGCCGGGCGTGCGTCCTGCGCTTCCTGGCCCTCCGCTGCCCGGGAAAGGTGCGCTGCTCCGGCCCTGCGCTGCGCTCCCTCTGTGCTGCTCCGTCCTTCGCGTCGCCGCTTCCAGGCTGGGCTTTCCGTAAAGCGGCGCCAGACGCGTCTCTGAGCCCCCACTGGCCTTCTTCCCGGGCAGCAACGCAGACCCTCCTTCCAGTTAGACCATAACCCGACGGGCACGGCAAGCTGCAGGCCTCAACAAGGCAAGACGTTATTTCAGTAAGTGCCATTTAATTCTCTAAGGGGGTTTCCTTTCTTTTCTTGTTACCTGCACGGAGGTCTCTGAGAGGCAACCATCTCGGAGCAAGGTTTGCTCGCTCCTTCCCTTTGCCTACTCTTATTCCAACTCGGCCTGCTTTGATTTTTAGATAAGGAAACCAGGGATATGGGAGCGACAGTCTTTGGGGGGGAGCAGGGGTCCCCACCCCCACTATGCGCCCCCACCACTGAGTTCCATCTTTTGCAATCATTCTGTTTCTGGGTGTCTTTGGGAGCAGAAGTCTTTTCCGAACAGAACCCAAAGCAGCAGCATCGTGTGGAGTTCAGAGAGGCGTGATCCTGAGTGGGCCTTGAAGCGCCCCTTTGCGATGCTGTGGCACAGGGGTCTTGGCATGCGAGGAGGGGTGCCGCTGGCTCTCCCAACAGACCCCTGGGCTCTACTGGAACCCCCCCCCAGCGGCGTGGGCTGGTTCACACGACGACGGCGGGAAGGAAGCCACCGGGCGAGGAAAGCACACGGATGCCTGTGCCGCCTCTGCCTTGAAGCGGCGAACCAGGAACGGCTCCCTGGTGGGCCTGAGGCTGGGCTGCCGGGCGGTTTTGGGACTGCTGACCAGCCGCATGGGGAGGCAGCTGCCGGCGCCGGGGTCGCCGCTCTCCCCCGCTTGTCCCCGGCAGCCACGGGTTGCCATGCAGTGCCAGCCAAGTGACCCCGTGCGGCACAGGCGTGCCGCTCTGGGGTGATTTTTCCCACGCAAGAGCCCCACCAGCCATGCCTCTGCCCCGCAGTTCTGCCCCAGCGGGCAGGGGGAGGGGCACAAAGGGGCTGCCCTCCTGCACCCGCTTTCACACGCCCTCCGCGCTCCCCGACGCGAGGCACAAGCGCGGCTGCCACGTTCTTTGGGGGAGAACCAGGGCCGCCCACACAGGAATCTGTGCTTTGCTTCCCCCGGGGCTTCTCCTCCCCGCCTTTCTCCGCCTTCCGTTGCACAACAAGCGGGACTGCGAAAACCCCGGCGCCGTGGGATGCGGGGTGCTCGCTCGCGCTCCCTGCCCGAACACGGCCGAAAGCGGCTGGAGGAGCCGGGAGGGCGCCTGGAGGAAGGAGAGGCCCCACAAGGCCGGGAGCCGCCGGGAAGGCCCCTGCAGCTGAAGGGGTGCAGAGGGACGGGCGGACGGGCGGATGGCGTGCAGGAGCATCACCAGAGGCAGGGAGAAGCCGACCTGCTGCCTCATCCAGGAAGCGGAAGGGGATCCCGGATCCGCGGCATCACGAGCCACGCAAGAGGCCGACTCTCAGCGCTTCCCTTGACCGCTTTGCATCCCAAGCAGGTGACCAACACCAGCAGAATGGGGACAGCGGTGGTGATGGCATCCCAGCCGCGTACTTGTTTCTCCTTGTCAGAGCAATTAAGGCGCTGTTTATATCTAATTACCATCCATTAGTATAAGCAATGAAGGGAAAAGGATGCCAGTTCAGGAACAGGGAAAACAAGGAACCTGCAGAGACGAGGCCAGGCAGCACGCGCCCCGGTGGCAGAGCTTCCGCGGGTGGTGCAGGGCCAGGGCACCCGGGCGCAGTGCGCGTCCACACCAGCGAGCAGTGGGGATTTGGAGTGCGGCCCCCACAGAGCTTCGAGGGGAGCCGGGGGGTCTCCGCTCCACGTGTGCGTTTGGGTCCCCCCAAAGTTGATGGAGGAGGCCTATGCAGCGGAGAACCCAGGTGCGTGTGGACGTCTGGATCGGGCCGCCACTGCAGCGCCCTCTGTTCTCACATGACTGGCGGGCACCCGAGAGCAGCCCGTTGCCACCCGGGTGCCTGGGCACCGCGCTGGCGCTGAGGGAGGTGGCATTCCTCAGAGTGCCTCCGGCGCGGGACCCTTCCTCAGCTCCTGGGCAGAACCACACGTGGCGGCCAGCGCTGGCGCTTGTGCCACATTTCACAGCGGGCACCGCTCCTGGGGTTTTGCCAGCCAGCGCTCTGGTGGGCGGGCGAGGGCCTGCGCCGCCCCCCGGCCTTGGGAGTGCTTGGCACGGGTGGCCATGGGCCCTGCCCTGTGGCCGCGAGGCTCTGAGCCGTGGCGGGAGGCGGGCCGGCGCACACGTGTGCACGCCGGATGCGCGCCAGTCCCCGCAGCGGATTGACCGCGAAGGGGGAGGCAGGGCCGCCCGAGTCCGAGCTCGCACAGGTCACTCGGGGCCACTTGGCAAGTGTTCCCAAGGGCTGCAGCCGGCTCCGGCCTTCATCCCCGGAAACGTGGCGGCGGTGGGTCCCCGGGAGCCCAGGCCGCAGCTCCACTCCACTCCGCTCCCCCAGCTCGGCCCCCTGGCCAGGCGAGCCACACTCCAGCAGCCCTTGGGGGGAGTGGCGCACGGCAGGCACCACCTCACGGCGGAGAGAGGCCCGGGCCACTGTCTCCTCCCGTCCTGCGTGTCGCCAGCCACACGCCTCCCAGACGTGCTGCCCAAACCAGAGCGGGCCTTGCGGATAGTCCTGCTCCAGGCTGGTGCTCTGCTGCTCCCCTAGGAAGAGGGCAGGTTCTCCCCACACCGAGAGGCACGGTGTGGCCACGAGGGATGCTCAGGGCCCTGGCGCTCACACTGGGCAGGCCTGGCGCAAGCCACAGGCCCGGCTTTGCGTCTCATCGCCCGGCATGCTGCCCGTGTGGGAAAGGCAACTGCGTGACGCGCCAGCTCGGGGCCGGGCCAGCCTCTTGGTCTGCCCAGGGTCCTATCGGGGGGGGGGGGCTGTGTGTGCCCCCAGGCCCTCTGGCGGCACGGATCCTATGTGGGATTGTGCCTCAGAGCATTTCCTGGTGCAAACGAGCTCCGGCCAGGTGAGCCAGCCAGATTCTCAGGAAGCTATTTCCGATGGGAACAGCCGTCTCCCAGCGAGCACGTGACTCCCCTGGGCTCTGGCAGGCTGCGCTGCTCGCTCCCTGCCTCCCTCTCTCGCGCTGGCTCTACCTCCAAGTGCAAAGTTCAACCTGCCGCACTCGTTCACCTGCGCCTCCCACTCCGCCTCGCCTGCCTGCCCGGTGCAATTAGACTTTGGGCTGCTGGCTGGCACCCGCGCTCATAGCTGCTGGCTGGCTAATGTGCAATTACACCAGGAAGCCGCGGAGCCTGGGCAGGTGCGTCAGCAGACATGTGCAGGCGGCGCTGAGCAGCGCACACCTGCCTCCCCGAGCGCGTCCCCAGCAGCACAGGTGGAACTCGGGGAAGCGTGACGGAGCGGCTCGCTACGCAGAGCACGTGACAGCCGGCCCGGGTGGCCTGCCGGGGCCGCGCTCCCGCCGGGCTCACCTCGGAAGGGCCTGCGCAGCATCTCCAGGCAGCCCTCAGCCAGACGCAAGCCACGCCTTGTGGACCGGCGCCCTGCTGGTGAGTGCTGTGCTGCAGGGAGGAGTGGGGGGCAGGTGAGGAGCGGGGGGCGAGTCGGCCTGGCCCTCCGCCCTCACCTGGCTGCTTGAGGGAGGCCCGGGACGAGGCGAGGAGGGCCGTCGTCTCGCTTCGGCCCGCCAGAGCCACGGCGTGCGAGAGGAGACGCCTCTCCCGCCCTGCCCTTGGCGTGGCTCCCCGTCTCGGGGGCAACGGTGGTGGCAGGGGGAGCACCGGCGGGTCCACGCAGGCCCTGCCCTCGGCAATAGCCGGGGGTCCCCCCGGAAAGCCCCCTTCTTCCCCCTGAACACAAGCCCGGTCAGACACTCCCCGGCTGCCCGGGAGGCCCAGCCTGGCCCCCCTGCTATTCTGACCCTTGCTCTGCGCACAGGGCCTCTTGGCCCGGCTGAAGGGAGCTGTGGGGGTCCTGCTGCTCCTCTTTCAAGCAGAACGGACGGGGCGGCCGGACGGTTGCCGGGCTCCAGAAGGTGTCGCAGCTCAGCCAGAAACCTGCACTGCTGCTCTTGACAGCAGAAGAGGCTTCTTGCAATTATTTCTCTGCACAACAACCCAGTGAGGTAGACCAAGAAAGTCCTGTGCGTGCTGGACATTCGGGCCGCGACCAGCACCGCCTCACAGGCGCACGATTGCAAGGACACTGCGCCTGCCTGGCTCGGGCACAGCCCGTGCGGTCCCCGTTTCGGCTCAGGGGCTGTCGGCGCCACGGCCCCGACCGGGTTCAGGCCACACTGCCGCCTGCCCCACCGGCAGGCCAGCGCCCCCGGCAACGGTTCCACCTCGCCGATGCTGGAGCAAAGCCGAGGTGGTGGGATCGGGACCGCCTGTGGCTCGGCGGGGCCCCCCCGGCTTCCTGGGCATGACGCTGGCCCTCCGCCTTTGGCTCGGGCCCCTTGGCAGAGCAGCAGAGGCACCGGCCGGGGGAGAGGGCTGCGTGGCCGGGGGCTGGCGGAGGCTGGGCAGGGGCTGGGTGGGGGGGCAGGGCCAGGAGCAGCGGAGAGGAGGGGGCGGGGCCAGAGGGGCCCAGAGGGAGCAGACAGGCGGGGCCACCAGCCGGAGGGGCTGATAAGGCCGCTCAGCCATCGGGTGTTGTCCCTTGGCTGTGGCCCGGGCTGTCCGGGGACTCCCTTCCCGAGACGCAGAGGTTTGTTGGTTTGTTTGTTTTGTTTGTGCTGTGCTGTGCTGTGCTTTGCTTGGTTTTTCTTCCAAGTTAAATTTAAATTTATTTTATCCTTGTGTGTGTGTGTGTGTGTGCGAGTGGGTTTTCGTCTGGGAGAACTGGGCAAGTGAGAGGAAATGCAGGACAGACAAGGCAGGGGACCAAGGTCCGGTCTCGGAAGGGATCCCGATGGCAGGCCAGGAGACGGCCTTGGCGGGAGTCACGGGTGTCGCTGCCGCTGCGAGAGCTGCAACATGGTCGCCCTTCTCCCCCAGGAGAGGCAGGGATACTCTTGCCCTCGGTGCAAGCTGGGGACCCTGCTAGAGGAGGAGGTGAGGGGCCTGAGGGCCGAGAGGGCTCTCCAGCCCCCCCCCCCCGGAGCAGCCCCCCTCTGGACAGAGGGCTGAGGGAGAGGCCACAGAAGGAGCAGCTGCGGAGACATGGAGGTATGTCACCCACAGGAGGAGGAGGCCAGCACGGCCTCCTCCTTCTCCTGGCACCAATCTGGAGCTGGGAAACAGGCTCTCTCCGCTTGGGGAGGCTGGGGCTGATGAGGCCTCGGGGGACCAGCAGGACCCCCAGCCTGAGACATCAGGCGGCAAGGGGGCCGCTGCAGGAGAGGCGAGGGCCAGGGCACCGCTGCCCACCAGCACCGGGAAGGTACGGCGCCGGGTCATTGTTGTCGGGGACTCCCTGCTGAGGGGCACTGAGGCGGCAGTGTGCCGCCCCAACCTGGAGACAAGGGAGGTTTGCTGCCTGCCAGGCGCAAGCATCCAGCATGTGAAGGACAGAGTGGGGCGTCTTGTTCGCTCCGGGGGTCGCCAGCCGGTCCTGGTGATCCATGTGGGCACAAACGATGTGGCCAGGCAGGGTGTGGTTGGGACCACCAGGGACTTCGAGGCCTTGGGGAAGAAACTCAGGGAGCTGAAGGCCCAAGTGGCCTTCTCGTCAATCTTACCTGTCCAGGGATTTGGGCCAGGAAGGGACAGGAGGGCCTCCGAGGTGAACGACTGGCTCAGGGTGTGGTGCCAGAAGGAACGCTTCAGGTTCCTTGACCATGGAACCTGGTTTCTTGCCAATGGACTTCTGGCAAGGGACGGGTTACACCTCACGAGGAGGGGGAAAAGGTCCTTTGGAGATGCTCTAGCAAGCTTCGTCCGGAAGACTTTAAACTGAGCCGGGGGGGGGGGTTCAGGCCCCTCAGAAACGTGTCTGCACTGGACAAGTGTGGGGGGAGGATCAGGGCTCTGGGAGCAGGGCTTTAGAGATTCTGCAGGGACTAACAGGACTCCTACAGAGCGGGGCCAGGTATCAGGGAGGATGGGAGGAAGGAGGAGGCTGGGAACTCCAAGGAAAGGAAGCGGTGGGAAGGAGTTGAGGTGCATGTACACCAATGCTAGGAGCATGGGTAACAAGCAGGGAGAGCTGGAAGCTCTCCTGGGCATAGGAGGGTATGACCTGGTGGGAATCACAGACACTTGGTGGGATGAAAGGCAAGTCTGGAATGTGGACATAGAAGGGTATCACCTTTTTAGAAAGGACAGGAAGGGAAAGAGAGGTGGGGGCGTGACTTTATACGTCAGGGAAGGGATAGGATGCAGTGAGACAGAATGCAGCACAGATGGGGATTCGGTAGAGGCAGTCTGGGTGAAACTTAGGGGTTTTGACAGGGAAAGGGAGCTGGCAGTGGGGGTATGTTATCGCCCTCCAGGTCAACTTGAGACCCTGGATGATGTCCTGACAGGCCAGATTCTAAGGATATCTCAGGAGAGAAACACAGTAATTATGGGAGATTTCAATCTCCGGGGTATTACTTGGGAGACTCACTCGGCGGTGACAGCCAGGTCACGTCGATTCCTAGAAGCTATAGAGGGAGGATTTTTCACACAGAGGGTCCGAGAGGCGACGAGGGGGGGAAACATCCTTGACTTGGTCTTGACCAATAGGGAGGAGCTGATAGGTGAAGTACAGATTAGGGGAGCTCTGGATGCGAGTGATCACTCCATCCTTTGCTTTGAGATCAGGGGACTGGGGACGTGCAGCAGGTCGAGCACTAGAAGCTGGGACTTCAAGAGGGCCAACTTGGGCCAACTGAAGGCCAGACTGGGGAAAGTCTCCTGGGATAGGTTACTGGAAGGTAAGCGAGTTGAGGAGGGGTGGATGGCACTCAAAAGGGAGGTTTTGGAGGCACAAGCCTTGACGATACCTCTAGTCAGTAAGGTGGGGAGGCGGAGGAGATTGCCGCCATGGATGCAAAAGGAGGTGGTTAGAGGGATTAGACGAAAGAGGAACCTCCGTAGGAAATGGGTACTGGGGCAAATAGACAAAAGGGTATACCGGGAGGAGGAGGACCGTTGCAGAAGGATTCTTCACAAGGCTAAGGCTGATTACCAGCTGAGACTTGCCAAGAATATCAAGAGCAACAAAAAGGGCTTCTTTCAGCATGTAAATAGGAAGAGGAAGAGGAGACAAGTGGTGGGACCACTAAATAAGGAGGAAGGAGATCCAGTGACTGATGCAAGGGAACAAGCACAGATGCTAAATGACTATTTTGCCTCTGTGTTCTCCCCAAAGCAGGACGGGGGATATCTGCATAGGAGATTAGATGAGGCTGGGGATTTAGGGGCACAGATTAGAGTCACCCCCTTGAAGTCGAGGGGCTCCTCAGGGCATTGGACATTACAAAGGCGCCAGGCCCTGACGGGTTACACCCGAGAGTACTTAGAGAGTTGGCAGGGGTTCTCTCACGCCCCCTGGCCTCCATTTTTGAGACCTCGTGGAGAATGGGTGAAGTTCCAGAGGACTGGAGGGTGGCATCAGTGGTCCCAATTTTCAGAAAGGGTAGTAGAAAGGACATGGGGAATTATAGACCGGTTAGCCAGTCCATTGTAGGAAAAACAATGGAAAGGCTCATAATAGAGAGAGATCTAGTGATGCTAGACAGGGAAGGGAGGCTGACAGCCACACAACACGGCTTCCGCAAGAACAGGTCCTGCCAGACAAACCTTGTGGAATTCTATGACAAGGTTTCGAGATGGCTAGATGGAGCGGATGCAGTGGATGTGGTTAACCTGGATTTCAGCAAGGCCTTTGACAAAGTGCCCCATGATATCCTGGTGGAGAAACTGAGGAGTTTTGGGATACAGCAAAGCACTGTCCAGTGGATTAGGGCATGGTTGACTGACCGAAAGCAGAAGGTAACCTTTAGTGGGGAATCATCGGGATGGCAGCCAGTGACAAGCAGGGTCCCTCAGGGCTCTGTCCTGGGGCCGATCCTGTTTAAGCTTTTCATTAACAACATGGAAGAAGGGGTGAACAGTCTGCTGATCAAATTTGCAGAGGACACTAAAACTGGAGCAGTGGCCACAACTGAGGAGCAGGTACTCCAGCTCCAAAAGGATCTGGACAGACTATGGAAGTGGGCAGGAGACAGCAGGATGGCGTTCAATGTGGATAAGTGCAAGGTCTTGCACTTGGGGCACAGGGATAGGTGTCATAAGTACAGGTTAGGTGACAAGTGGCTGGAGAGCAGCACTTGTGAAAGGGACCTCGGGGTACTGGTTGACTGCAGGCTAAACATGAGTCAGCAGTGTGATGCGGTGGTCAAGAGGGCAAACACCACCCTTGGTTGCATAGCCAGAAGCGTGGCTGCTAGATCAAGAGAGGTGTTACTACCACTCTATGCGACTCTGGTGCGCCCGCAACTGGAGTACTGTGCTCAGTTTTGGGCCCCTCATTACAGGAAGGATATAACCAGATTGGAGTCAGTGCAGCGTAGGGCCACAAGGTTGGCGGCCGGATTGCAGGGGATGCCGTATGAGGCGAGACTGAGGGAGCTGGGTCTCTTCAGCCTGGAGGAGACTCGGAGGGGATATGTTGGCGAAACGCAGGTACGTGAGGGGGTGTCACACGGAGGTGCCTAGAGACCTGTTCCCCCCTGCAGAGGAAGGCAGGACGCGCTCCAACAGAACAAAGCTCAGGGAACCCAGGTTCCATTTAGATGCCAGGAAGCACTTCCTGACAGTCAGAACCCCGAGGGTATGGAATGGGCTTCCCCGGGAGGTGGCTGAGGCCCCATCGGTGCGGGTGTTCAAGGACAGGCTGGACATGCTCTTGGTGGGCATGTTGTGAGCGGAGCCGGCTGGTGCCGGAGGTCAGACTAGATGGCCCGGGAGGTCCCTTCTGACTCGCTCTGTTTCTATGCCCGGGGAGGGCGGGAGCAGCCATCGCAGGCAGGTAAGAGCGCGCCCCCGGCAGGCCCACTCTCGCAGTGCCTCTGGCACACCTCGGAAGGATGCTGGGGCACGAAGCGGGAGCACACCTGGCAAAGGCAGGACAGGAGCCCTTCTGGTGGGGGTGGACCAGAGTCGGGCCACCTGGTCCCAGTTCTGCTGGCATGCTGGCCAAGTGGGTGCCTGACGGGCCACAAGCAGCACACGTGGGGAAGGTGCCCAGTGCCCGCAGTGCCTTTCGAGTGGAGGGGGGGGGCATGACAGCGGTGTACAAGGGCAGGCCCGGGTCCGTGCCCCCCCGCACCGGCCAGTTGGGGGCGCTGCCCTCCCCTGCTTCCAGGCCTGCAGGCTTTTCGCGGCTCCCCGTGCGGGGCGGGGGGCTGTCCTCGCCCGCCCCGCGGTGAAGCGCCTCTCCCCGGGGAAGCGGGGGCCCAGCGGCGGGGCGGGGGGCGCGCGAGGGCAAAAGGCACGAGGGATCCCGCGCCCTGCAGCCCGCCCGCCTCCCGGAGGCCTTTGGTGCTTCGGGCTCGGCGGGCCGGTGTGCGCGGAGCCAACGGGAGCGGTGCTGCAGCTCTCCCGCCGAGCCACGGCCGGCCGCGAGGGCAGGCGCGAACCCGCAGCGCCGCCGCAGGGCGACGTGCGCCCGGCCGCCCCGGCGAGG